ATATGTGGCTCTATTCAATTGTCGTGATAGGGAACAGGAACTTTATGTTTATGAACCAATTTGTGTTGGGAAACTGGGAGTGACTGTGACTCTCCACTGTGTTTGTGGACATTAGGATTTAGGCTCCCAGGTCTAGGGTTTCTATTGTTTATAGATCAAGTAATAATTTAGTTGACTGACTTAATTTTGTTCCTTAGAAATGCCATGTTCAGTTACACACTACTGAAGATCTCTGTAGGTTGAAATCTTCTGACTGCCACTTTTTGTCCATGCTGTCCATTAACATAATTGCTCACACCTTTTTCTTACTAAATTCTGCCACTTGGCCCCTGTACTCTGGTATCTCATTATGCCCATTAGGGAGTGTCTTAGTGGTGTCATCTCCCCATGTCATTTCTACCCCAGAGAAGACAGCCACTACAGTGTTTTTCAAGAATGCAGATTCCCTTACTAGTGTATTTCTCAATTCTTTGATGTAATGTTCTCTGGGTCCTCATGGACTGTATAGTAGGAGATGTGTGTACATTCAGGTTGTACATGACAGATCTTGAAAATTTCTCTTTTTCTAATCTGGATTTCTTTTACATTGTGCCAGGAAAGTTTGATTATTTCATCCTCATTAAATGTAAGCTTCTTTGGGACTGAAGTATTATTCAGTCAACAAACAATTAGGGGTACTTATAGCTGCTTAAGCAAATACGTTATGGTTAGCCATGTCCAAACTCTTACGGTCATACTCACTTCAAATTCCTTTCCATACCTATTCCCTAGGTTGCTGCTTATACAGTTCATCAAAATATTATAATTGTTTTTGAATATAAGCCATCCCCTGTCAGTTGAGACATTGTACTTATTTTCTTGGAGTTTGCCTGCATCTGGCAATAAGGAATGGTGGCAGTAGGTTTTGAGAATAGGCATCCCCTTCAAGGTAACTGTCTCAGGTGAGAGTGTTAATAGTTTTCAAGCAACAGCTGGGCAACCTTCTCAAAGTCATAGGAGCAGGAACTATTTCTCCTTATAAAAGAGGCTCAGAGAGACTCTATGGGTTCAAAAGTCTAACCTTCATCTGAGTCCATTCAAGTATCCCTATTTCATATCTTAAGATTCCACTTCTTCCAAAAAACCAGTGCTGTGACTGGCATTAAGGAGACTTAGAAAGTATGTGTATTCAACTTGCAATGTAATTATGAAAGCTGAAAAATTAAATTTTCGATATAATTCTCAGCAGGATCATATCTGTGGCTATAAGAAACTCTTTTTAAAGGGTTACTTCAAAAGCTCTGTAGCTTCCTTATGATGACTTGAACTGAAAGTTAAAGATCCCAAGTATATCATTTTCTTCTGTAAGTTTTACGTTATAGTCAGAGGCAGCCAGCCCAGAGTCATCGTTGTCATTATTGCCACCACAATGGTGAAGTCAAATAGTCATTGATCCCCTTAGGCACTTGTTTCAGTAGGTATGTGATCATGATTAACTACAAGTGATAATTTATCATTATGTCAATACATGGCTTGGATTACTAGTGTCCCTTTTGACACTGGCAAGGAGCTCAGCAGTGCACTGAAGGTCAAGGACAACTCAAGCCAGTTCATGAATCCTGTGTTTCATGGGACACCCCTATTATCAAGAAAATGAAACCACACTAGGGTTTTTCAATGAGGGGAATTTAATGTAGGATTGGTTACACAGATGTGGCAGACTTAAATAACGAAAAGTAAAACAGAGTAACCTAGATAGAATAAATGTTTCAGGAAGTTAGCACTCTTAGGCCTAGGGAACAAAGGGTTTAACAGAACTTTGCAGCTCAGAGGGGCCCCATGAAGCTGGGGGTCAGACCTCTGGAGAAAGTATTGTTCAACTGCTACTGGTATCTCTGAAGGTTGTTAAGATGCTGGTTAGAATACTGTCGAATAAAGCAAGAGACTGAAACTACAGGGTGACACTAATGGAAATGCATGTAAACAAGAAAAAGGAAGTCTTCCCTCCTTTCTTTCCAACTATTAATCTCTATCTAGTATTCCTTATTGGCAGAATCTATCAGGAAACTATAAAAGGAAAATATAATTTTGCAGAATACTAGCTCCAGCATCACAGAATAGACTAAAGAAGGGTGAATTTGGAGTCAAGAAAAGAGTAAGTCGTTGACCAGCCTACTAACTTTAGCTATTTTTGTTAGGTTCTGAGAAGTTGTGACAAAATTTAGAGATGTGAAGTATCACTGTACAGATTCTGTTTGTAAATACTTAAGACTTCATTTTGGATTTTAACAGGGACATTTTTTCCTGCTTTGGACATTTTCTCTGTTCCCATGTCTTCCTTCCAAGATTACTTTCTTTGTATCTAACAACTGGAAGAAAGGGTAGGTTTTATCTCTGGATCAGTGATTACTAGAGTATCTGAACTGTTTTGAGATCTAACCTAGTTACTTGCAGCCTTTTTTTGACTATGACTCAAAGAGAAATACTTGGAATCCAATACACACATATACAAATATATGCCAGAATCAGAAGTTTTATTAAACAATACTTGGTCTTAACTACTAAGTGACACACACTGATAATTTATATCCTATTCTGTTTTTTTAAAAGAGTGATCACAGCTCACTAAATCATTTATATACCTTAATTTGATAAACACTGATCAAAGCAAGAGGATGAAGTAAATGTAAATATTTCTCCTGTTTGATTATATGAACAGCGCTTAACTTGGCATGTTTTTGGTCATTCTTGTTCCTATTTAGGTTCTCATTATATAATCCTAGTCCATTGTTTTTTGTTAAATTCAGGGTGAGAAGAAAGATGTTTGTTAGAACTGAGTTTGTAGTTCTAGTGGTGATAGAAGGTATACACAATAATGATGTTTCAACAAGGAATGCAGAAAGCATTCCTAATGTTCCCTTCCTCCCTACTTCTCCCAGTGAGGAAAAAAAGGGACAATATATGAGAAAAATTAGGTCAGAGAAAAACCAAATTCTTTAATAATTATTCCTCTATCATGAGCTTGTCAAATATTTAAGTACTTTGTATGTATAAAATCTTGAGCTCAGGGCAGAAGATACAACCATGAAAAGCACAAATGTGAGGGTTGCTTTTATGGAACTTACATCCTAGTGGGGTCTTAAGCATCAAATGATTTATTATGCACTAAATATGTAATTACTGATAGTGGTGAAGAATTAGAGCTAGTTTGAGGTAGTGAAACATGCTGTAAATTGAAAAACATTTAATCTGAAATCTGAAGGATAAATATAATTAGCTAGAAGAAGATGGAATTTAAGGATGGTATGGGAAGGAAAGAATATTCTTACAAGGAACAGTCTATTTTCCCCATGAAATGGAAAGAATCAAGGTGAGACAGAAGAAATGAAAGGTTTTTGTGGCTAGTAGCATAGAAAGATGGAGATAACATAACACAAGATAAAGATAGGAAGGTAGATAGGATTCAGATTATACTGGGCCTTGTATTCCACTTTATTTATATGAGGAGCAGAAGAGAGTATTGAAGAAAATGACGTGAAGACATTTCTGTCTTTAATTTCAGTCTAGTATTGGTATGAAATGAAATGCAGAAGAGCAAGTGTGCATATGGAGAGATTGGTTAGGAGGCTATGGCATTTAGTCCATGTAAATGCTTGGACTAGGGTGGCAGCTTCAGAGGGGAAAGGTGGATAACTTATCTAACAGATATTTAGGAGATAAAATTGAAAGGACTGATTAGATGTGGGAGTTGAGAGATAAGAAGGGGACAAGAATAATGGCAGAGGTTTCTGAAGTGGGTACCTGATATGAGGAATAACGGAGGAGGATCATCTTTGGGGAAACAGTAATGGGTTAAACTTTGTATATACTGAGCTTGAGGTCTGAGATCTTACTACATACCAGGCATTGTACTGAGCTTTGCATACACATGATCTGATTTAATACATACAAATATGATTAATTTTACCACTTTACAAGTGAGACAACTATTAAGGGGTCAGACCAGGATTTCATTTTTATATTTTAAGAAGGGAGAGATTCAGACACATTTAAATGTTACTGAGAAAAATCCAGAAGAGAAAGACATGTTGAAGATACTGGAAAGAAAGGGATAATCCATAACATAAAACTAATGAGAAGATGGTTTTAGGTTTTGCACAGATAGAATGATATCTCCTCTATTTTACAGAAAGAGAGAAAGAGAGTGTATATGAGAGTTAGCTTGTGGATTTGATTTCAGAAAGGTAAGGGAATTTCCTCTTGATGGCATCTACTTTCTCTGCAAAGTAGAAAAAAATATCTTTTAAGACTGAGGAATGAGATAGGGAGAATGGAGATTAAAGAATGGTAAATTTTTACATGGATGGAGCTAGAGGGTATTATGCTCAGTGAAATGAGCCAGGTGGAGACAGACAAGTATCAAATGATTTCACTCATCTGTGAGTATAAGAACAAAAAACTGAAGGAGCAAAACAGCAGCAGACTCACAGAACCCAAGAATGGACTAACAGTTACCAAAGAGAAAGGGACTGGGGAGGATGGGTGGGAA